TATTCTAAACTAGCATTTTTCAGTCTTACTGAATCTTCTTCATTGGTCAAGTGATGATGCTCTGGTTTGCTGGGCATTAGAAATATTGGGTGGGCATGGAATTGGAGAAGCAGCTGGCAGGAAATATGGGACATGGGGGCTGCAGCCCTATACAAGCCTTGTAACGTAAATAGAAGTTTGTTGTTAGTGTCCTAGCACATAAGTGAGGGTACGTAAGGAAGTCGATGGGTTAGGATTTGGAAATACATTGTGCGTGGGGCCAGGTTTCATCTGGTGCATGAAAACTAGTATTAGGGGATAGTGATTGTGTTATGGAAGCTGGCACACTGTGATATCTAGGAACAAGGAATGCTTGACAGAGCTCCTGCTTAGTTGTTCTCCTGTTCTTTTTATTTTCACAACAACTCTTCAAGGTAGGTGAGGCAAGCTTCCCTGGTATAATACAGATCGGAACCTAAGTCTCCCAAATCCAAATATGACGCTACACTGGGCAGTGGAGTACTCATTTGTGGAAGGGGTACCCTTAAGGATTTAGTTTCAAGTGGGTAGCCATGTTATTCTGTAGTAGTAGAACAAAATTTGAGTTCAGTAGTACCTTAACTAACAATATTTTACAGGGTATATGTTTTCATGACTCAGTGCTGGATAAGTGAGCTTTGACTTGGATGTAAGAGCCTAAGAATGCAGTAGGTGATTCGAGGAGAGGATAGTAACTGCTGACTGGTTAAGGTAGGAAGAACTAACAGGACGAATTTGTGGGAGCTAAATGGGTCATAAATGTCCAAGTGGTAGCTGAGTATTCTGTAGCTGATCAGAGGTGATGAGTTGGGATAGTGTAGATGGGAGATGTAGAATTGTGCATAGAGAAGGGGTGCCTGTTGTGGGCACTGACTAGAAATAGCTGGTTGATGCTGAAGGACAGTTAGCTTGGAGCAAGTTATGGCAGAAGAGGCTGGAAGCTTTGTCACAAAGCTCGGGAGAAAGGGCTTTTGAGTGTGAGGATTTCTGGGTGGGTTATGGTTGGTTCTGACAAGGTTTTGGAAGGAAGTTAGGGATTTATGATTCTTTGGGGGGGTGGAGGTTGACTGGAGTTAAAAATTGGTGGTACGAAAACAAAAGATGTTGCTATGGACCCTGTTGGATATCTTGCAAGAGGATAGTAGCTCTGGAGTGGTGTTAGTGAGAGATTGAGGCTACAGGAAATTGGTGGGAATGGAGGAGTGTAAACAGCATCTGAAAAGTAGAAGCTGCAGAGTGAAAGCAAAAAAAAAAAAGTGGATGAGGCTTGGCTGGGCATGGTGAGATGCAGAACTGGAAAGTCTAGATGTCCGGCCAACTGGGCACCCAGGAATTTATAATATATTTACAGTTCTGGTGATTGCATAAGCACCAGATATTATTTGTGAAGGGGAGAGAAAATAGAGGTTGGGTTTTGAAGAACACAAAGAGTTGGTGTGCAGAAGAATAGGTAAAAGTGGTTATGGAGTCTAATCTTTGTGAAGGATATGTAGGACGTTGATATTTATGAGAAACCCCCTTTGAATTTGCAGTCTAGCTTGAGGTAGAGAGAGGGATTAAGTTTATGAGTTATTCGATGAAAGAAGAGGGTGCTACGGACACTACAGAGCCTGGATGGTTAGAATAAAGGTATAGAACTGTGGTTAAATTTGGAATTAAAAAGACTGTGTATGAGGAGACTTGGAAAGAGCATCATTTGGACAAACCTGGAAGGTAAGAAGTTAGTTAACGTTGTTTGTGTGCCAGTAAGAAGAGAGAGAGAAATGCTTTCTTAGATATAAAAAAGAGCAGGCTAGTTCAGATTTAGAGTTAGGCCTCTGTATAAGGGGAGTGGAATTTATAAAATGGCAACTACTGGGACTTGGAGGGGTTCCAGTGTCTGTTTGGAGTAAAGTGGAAATCTTATGAAAGTGGAAGCATGTATGAAGTCGTTTTGAGTGGTAGGACCAGGATAAATGGACTGAGTACCTCAAGACAGAGCACGAGACCTGGATAACTGGATGAAGGCCCTTGTAGAGGCCCAGCTTCTGTAAAAATTGTTCTTAATAGGCTGTATGGGTGGTTTGAGTATACTTAGGGACTAAGGTGAAACCTAATTTGTCACAGTGCTAGATGGGAGTTTGGGGAAGGAGAATCTTGGTGAACAGTGAGTTTTGGAAAACGTGGTAGAGTGTAGTGAATTTGTGGCAGTGGTCATTCAGGTGTCAGAGAGAAATCTGGGCGGCCTGGAGTATGGTGGGCTGAAGCTGTCTGTTTTGTTATAGGTGCTAAAGGAAGAGAGAGAAGGAGAGTAATTCCTCTCTACCCAGAGCAAAAATTTTATTGCGAACTTCTGCCTTGCTACTGTGGGAGGTGCAGGCAGCAGCTTCCAGGAAGTTCTGTCTAGTTTCTCTTTGTGCAGTCTATATGGAAGCTTGACTCCCTTGGGTTTTACTCTTGTAGGAAGCAGAATGTAAAGGGAGGGAAATATCTTGCTGCTCTGGTACCTTGTTTCAGAATTTATGAACACTTAACCGCATTAATGATCCCTTTAAGAGAATACACTAATTGCCGTGAACACTGAAGTGCTTTATATCTGTATCATGTATGTCAAGACTTCTGCATTTGCTATCAAGAGCAAGGCTTTGATCTGATCTTAATCATTTATATCTATCACCAGCATGCTGGTGGTAGACATGATATATAATTTCTGTTCACAAGAATCCTGACGTTTATAGGCCTGGATTGGAATATGTTTGTTTCATTTCTGAAACTTAAACCTTTCTGTCCACAACATGCACACATATTTAAACACAAATAACATAATTCAAGACTGTTCATTAAAACAAAGCAAGAATAAAATCAGTGAGCTTTGCCTGCATGCTCCCACAGTGCACTGGGCTATACTTTTGAGTCATCTGTGTGTGCCTGGTTTTTTTTTGGGGGGGGGAAGGGGCTCATGCTGTTAGCTACAGTTTGCCTGCTTGAGTACTTTAGTCTTGTGTTGAGGGGTTTACTTGAATTGCTGTAAATGATCTGCAGTCAGGTCTTTCTGAAAATGAGGTATGAGTTTGTTAGCAAACGACTCTCCCCTTTCCCTTCCATCTTCTGTGGCAGCCTTATGTGAAAACACTCGCTTTTCTAGCAGTCTTTAGAAATGCTCCCGGGACCAAAGTTCTCCCTTGTTACAACATAATGTCCATTTGATCTGTTGTGCTGCTCTGTTATGGAGACCTCTTCTTTGTAGTACTGTTCTGTCAGAGCGCTTTTAAAATTCTCATTCTTCAAAGAAAACGGGTTTCCAGTGGTCAAGTGTTATGCTGCTTTCTCCTGGGGTGGCTACAAGTTGTCCCTTGGTGTGTAACTGAGTGATGAAAGTGCACATGCAGCACCCATGGCATAACGCAATACGGGGCTAAAGAGACTGCATGTGTGGTCAGTAGCCTTCTAATGCTTAAACAGAGCTGAGAACATTCTGTGCAGGTAACGTAGTCCTGTGCTGCTCTAGGCACAAACTAGTGCTACCCAAATTGGTCTCCATGCCAGGTCTGTCACTTGCAGAGTGTCTGCATGTGTAGGAAAACCATGCAGGTGTACTGGGATAATTATTTGGGAAATTTCAGTCTGTTGTATAAACAGATCATTTTCTAGCACAATTGACTTACAATGGCATAACGGAGAGAGCTCAAACAAGAAAATCATTAGTCCCCTATTACAATACAAAGCTAGAATACGAAAGGCAAAGAAAGCAAAAACAGCATTGTAATACAGTCACATAATCCTAGTTGTAGAACCCTTATTTTCTTGCCTAATCAGGTTACAAATGGGGAATCCAAAGGGAAGTCAGACATTGTCATAAAGAGAAAAGTCAGATTTCAGGGTGGTCTGTGATAGGAGAAGGGGAAAAAATGGTCTGGGATGGGAAAATCCTCTGGAACAAAGGCCAGAAAACTAAAACCAACTCAAGAGCTGGGGATCCAGGAGCAAAAAAAAAAATGTTCAAGTGATTTCAGCGGGGTGAGGGCAACTGCAAAGTTGGGGAAGGATGTTCACAAGCAGAATGTACTACAAAGTTTGGGGGGGGGGCTTGAGATGCCCTGTTTATAGGTTTTGATATGACTATACTTCATTGGAGAAATTCCACTGGTAGCTCAATTCTGTGTAGAGTTTAGTATCTGCATAGGGATTGGCTCAAGAGTGCAAGTGGTTCCTAGTGATGTATTTGAATTTTAGTGAGTGCAGACAGATGTACACTTCAGGGGATATGAACATCCTTCTGTGGCCCTTCTAGGTGGGATGATAGAGCATAGCAGGAAAACATAGGTGGGATGGTTTCAGATGGGTAGCTGTGTTGGTTTATAGGAGAAGAGCTTGATTTAAGTCCAGTAGCTCCCTTTGTGAGATAGAGAGGGATGACTGAGCTACCTGAGTGGCAAACCGACCTCCTCGAGCAAATGAACAGAGGCTGAGCAGTGGCTTGATAATCTTCCCTGGGCAAGTGATTAAATTATGAGGGAAGGCTGTGCTGGGAAGAGGACTCTGAGAGGTTATTGTCTGGCAAACTTGAGTTAATTACTCATGACCAAGGGTGTGAGTTAGATCTGGAGAGTTTAGACAGAATGCCTATTTGATCAGTGTGCTCCTTGGAGCGCTTCAGTCGTTGGGCTACTCCCATATGAGAGTAGGGGCTCTTGTTTTGATATGAAATGAGATATTTTCTCCATCCCTCTGGCAGCCAAGTTGTAGGGGGTAGCCTGATAGGTAACAGTATTAGTATTATGGTAGCTGTTTGCAGTTCTTTCTCTGTAATTCCCAGGCATAGGCATCTGGACTGACACGTGTAAGCAGCAGCTTTGGTCAGACATAGAAAATGATGCGTAACAGTCATCAAATATTTATTTGCAAGGCTTACAAAAATCATCACCAGAATGTTCAAGCCCATTGTGTTAGTAATCATCCTTACAAAATGTTATAGTAACCAACTGTTTTATCTATTTCTTCCCTGAAGTTGCATCACTCGACTGAAAGGATTACTGTGGCTGTTACCAGAGCTGTGCTTGAACACTGTTTTGGATGAACCCTCCCTGCACCATATCTGAACTATTCTGGCCTTTTAAATTTTAAGGGTAAGGTTTTATTTTCTTCTAAAACTTTCTGGGGCTTAACAAACATAACAGAGACTCCATCTCTGCAGACTGTTCAGCTGTTACAATAGATAGGAATAGAAGCTTAACCTGCTGTTACTTCCCTAGCAGTTATTTATCTTCTCCAGATATAGATCACTAAACAACCACCCCTCTAATTCTTACATAAACCAGTGTGAACCAAGAAAAGATATCTCAAAACTTTTGGTAGTGGGAGAGGGATTATAATTACCAGTTTCCCTTGGCTCCTTGCAAAATAATAAATCAAATGTCTTTTGTGCTGTTAAGAGTGCCAGGTGTTATGGTACAATGAAGATGCAAAAGCCCTTTTTCAGACATAGCTAGGGGGTAAAGAATTTTGATCGCTAAGAAATGCAAGTCAGATACTACTGTGCTGCTTAAAGATTTGTTTGTGTTCAGGAACTCTTCATACCTTAAGAAACCTGCCTTTAACCATTTGACGGATTGAAGTAGATTACCAAAAATACAGCTTTTTTTAGATACTGAGGGAACACTGTTCCTTACCAGAAGGGAAAGCCATATTGCATATGTCCGTTCTCTGTTCTGTCTTACAGTAGCACACCAGAACGTAAACAACCTCTCAAACAACTGGGAATATTTATACTTGTGCCAGCATTAGTGTGAGCAATTAACGTGCAGAATTAAGACTGTCTGGATATACTGCTTTGGATGGCAAATAAGTCCCACACTAGGATTGCAGTGGGTAATGAGCAACGTTGGGATGGGGATAGTAGGCCTTAGTTGACATCTCAAGCCCTTTCAGCCTATATCCTGGTTTTGTCATAACGTCCACAAGTGTCAACACTGGCATAAGTATAAACGCTCCCATTGTACTTTGTGGGAGTGGGAAACAAATTGCCTCCCACCACATCTACCCGGCCCCTGAAAAGCTTACCAAGTAAGTGTGGAGCCAATCACAGCTCCATTATATAAAGCCCAGACAGGACACCAGTATTGTTGATCGTGATCCCAGCATGGCCTTGTGTTGTGCACATCTAGCACATCCCTTGCTGTGAACTCTTGAGAAAGGGCACTGTGTACAAACAGCTCGCAAAGCTGAGCTAGGCTCATTACAGCATATTGCTAAAACTGCTCTGCCCAGAACCTTTAGTGGTGCTCCACAACGAAAGCATTGACCTACATCCTCTAGTCTTCCAGCTGGAAATACAAAGACAGCATTACCCCACACAGGTAAGCAAAGGATTCTGTCTCAAACTTTCTAAACGTGTCTCCCCCTCCCTCCCCTGATGTGCCTACTGCGTATTTGCTTAGTAGCCCTTCCTTTCTCCACAGTAGCTAGCAGTAAGTCTCACATAGGTGGAACAAGGTAAGTATGCATAGTGCAGTAAGCTCCCCCCCCCCCATAAATGAATACAGCATCTTATGGCAGCTTGCTGACACTGTGTCAGTGTGATGACATGCTGGTCTATCCCTGCATGCAGGGAAATTGGAAGCACAGCCATTCTACCATTGCTGTTGCTAGCCAAACATTCAGGACACCCTTGTATCTGGTGTGATCAGAGCCTCATGGGACAGCACAAACAGAAACCGCAGACAGAGTTCCTATTCAGCTCCCTACAAGAGATGACCCAATGGCTACATTATGTTCCCCTGTAGTCCAGTATGGGAATCCTAGTCCCAGTCGTAAAGTATGGGAATCCCCAAGAGAGGAGGGAGTATCAAGAACTGGAAGAGCACCTAAGTCGTGCTACTGTCTTAGACCCATAGACCCCACTGTGTGCAGAGTGCTCAAGCACACATGCGATCTGTTGCTATTGTGGATGTTGCTCATTTACTATCTTTGTGCCTCTTGGCTTTTTGCAAACAACCCTCTAACGGGGATAGAGACCAGGATGCTTTCCGTACACAGTGCAGTGCCAGTCATCTGCTGGATATGCAACATGACCAACAGCTGCAGTGATCACTGTGGCTCTAACTGCTATGCTGTGAGCTTTCCAGCTCTCTTGTTCTAGCCTAGCTCCTGCACCATCGTAAACTACTGAACACTTGCTTGATCAGCACCGTTTTCCCCATCAGGCATGCAGTGACAGGACAAATTCTGCTGTCAGTCAGTGCATCTTCTGAAGGCATGGGAGTCTTTCCAGACCAACAGAGTTGGCAGCTCTGTTCATCTGACTTTCCTGCAAAACTCCACTCCTGATGCTGCTCAATAAATGTTTGGACTTCATATCTGTTTGTTATAATGTGGCTTGGTAAATAGGGCTTTATGCCCACCCCTTGCTCATTACTAATTTCAGCTGTCTTCAGCATTCCAATGTCTGCACAAATCCATGTTTCATGAACTCTGTGATGATTCCTGTATGATAAACAATGCAGGGACAGGCAGGAAGATAAAAAGCAAGGGTTGCCAGGACGTTTAGCAATGGTCACTAGTATTTAGCCTCATGAATACAGCAGAGGGATAGCTGTGTACGCAAGAGCTCAACAAAATTATGAAGCGTGGAGCAGCCAATCAACAAGTTGTGAGTTCTCCATGACTGGGTCTGACCATGCAAAGCTGTAGCTGTTCCTAGGATGACTTTCGAAGCTCTCTAGTGGCTAGCCCCTCATGGGGCTTGAAGTGGGCACCTCAGGCATGCTAGGCCTCTGTTAGGAGTGCTGTTGCTTTTTCTGCAGTATTTCCTGCCCTGACGTATATGGCTGGTTTGGCCTCTAGAGCCAGTGGAAGATTTCAGATGGCCCACGAAGTCTCCTCTACATGCCCAGTTGAGTGTGTAGTTTGAAAGCCATTCTGTAGAGTGAAAGCTGTGGGTTCTAGTGCTGCCTCTTCCTCCTGTTTTGCTGGGAATTAATATGTTGTTGACCAAAAGTTGTGCTTTCTCTTATTCCCAGTTTCCTCCTTGGTAGGATCCAAAGCCTTCCTGTTTTGTGCATGAGGGCTTTCCCTAACTGAGCAGTTCTTGTCGCAGACCTAATGTTTGCCCCTTACCACCACCACTCCAAATTCCACCCAGGACATTATAGTGAAGAGGAGTGTGGTAATTACAGGGCTTTTAGCGCATGCACCACAGTCTCCCACACAGTGGGGGGTGCTGTCTGTTCTCTCCTTGGTTGTGTTCTGTGGGTTGATGGAGGGGGAAGGATGCTGTCAGGGAGGCATGTTGGCATCAGTCCTCATGGGTTGTTTGCATATCTGGCTGACACAAGGCAGTGTCAGCATTCTGTTGTGAGAGTGATGCTGGGTGTTATGGACTCCCGAGCTGACAGCATATCAGCTGTTTTAGTATCTCATTTCTCTGCTGGAAGAGCATGGGTTACTGACTAGCTGTGTAAGTTAAAAGTTGAGCTCCTTAAAAAATCCCCCCCCTCCCCCGCCAGGTGTATTATGGCGGCGGGGAGCCGCGGACCCAGTGCTGGTTGGTGTTACAGCTCAATGGCATGGAATGCACATGAGTGTTGGAAGCAGTAATCTGGCTGCAGGATAATAACTATATCTGTGCTTGCCCTCTAAAAATAAAGTCTTCTCCTGGCTGAATCTTCGAAGAACCAAGTTTCATAAGATCAAGTAACTGATAAAAAGCAAGTTGGTGATTTCTTTGTGAAGCCATTCAGAGTAGCAGTGCAGACCTAAGCTCCTGATCGCTGTGCTGCCCGTCAGTATCCTATGCTTGCTCAGTAGAGGAGAAATAGGGGAAAGGGAGACCGGCTCCAAGGGACAGAGAGCATAGCAACCGCATCCGAGCCCATAGCAACTCAGCTGCAGCCCACTGGTCACAGTGTGGTATGGTGATGTTGCTGTGATGGCCAGAGATGAAAGCGGTCAACCACCGTGTGCCAGTGCAGACACAGCTCTCTGATGTCAGTTTGCTGTAGCCCACATGCAGAACATAAGGGAGAGACCATCGATAGCACTCTTCACTTTGTTGTGATAGGGAAGCTCCATAGTTGTGAGGTTGAGTCCCTTCCTGAAACCACGTTTCTTCAGGCAGAGGAACATGGGGGAAGGCAACATGGCCGCTACACCCACTCCCTCCTGAAGGGGGGGGGGTAAGGAGACCTTAGCCAGGCAAGGAGGATGCAGCACTGGGGTCCCAACAAGGGAACATACAGCTGCACCTTCGCAGAAGGTATTTTGTGATCTCCCCAGTAGATCATTGCGAAAAAGTGGTCATATAAAGATGTTGGCAAGAAGGTAGAACTCTTAATTTTGGTCACCATCAACCAGAACAGTAGCAAAAGATAATAAGGGGAGAGGGCTGGAACGACATTTCGCAGGCTCTGGAGCTGTCCACACGCAAATGAGCACCCATCTCCCAGCAACTGTGCTGCTGAAACCAGCCACGTGTACCAGGGCTGGGAGGATTGCAGAGAAAGGCATGGCAGTGTGGGAAACCTGCAAGTATAGCATACTGCAGATTCCTCTGTTCAGGCCTCACGTGGAACCTGCTACCCAGGACTCCCAGGCACAATTCAAGCATAATTGCTCAGGGAGAACTGATTGGTATGTGGGGTGACCAGTCGTTTTGGTTGCCTGCCCCCATGCACTGTCTCTCTGCTGCAGTAAAGGAGTTCATTATTGCTACGTGCTTTTATTCTTCCTAGCCTCTACCCCTTTTGGATGGCTGCCTGCAAAGAGGCACGGGGACAGCAGTGAGAAATGCTCCACAGTAGCAGCAGCAAACAGCCAGTGGGCTCCAGCCTCCTCTGTGCATGGTGCTCGCAGTTCTTTTAGCTTCCCCAGGGTGGAATACATGTGTTGTGGGCCATAGTATACCCAGTGAGCCAACCCTCATCCATTTTCCTTATGGGTAGTCACGCTGTAACTGTATCTGTATGTTTTGCTGGAGCCACTCCATGAAGTCGTGATGATGCAAGATAATGGGCAACATAAGTGTTTGGCCAACACTGGCAAAGGCTGGAGGGAGTCACCTGAGACTGCGGTTGCACTCTCTGAATCTCACGTGTGTGTGTGGGGGGGTGTGTGTGATTTCAGCATGGCA